CGGGCTGGGGATTCAAACCCGCCACCTTAGGTGTACGTGGCTGGCGCCTTAGCCGGTTGAGCTATAGGCGCTGAGCCGTGAGGTTGGACTTTTAAAGTTCATCTTGATCACTCCTCTCTCGTGAAGAAACCCATCGACTTACAATCACCTCCTGCAAACAATCAAAACAAAAGGGGACTGAATTAAGGACATTCTAAGCACTTGATGTCACAGCTACTTATCACAAAGAGCTGCCTGTACCACGACAATACCGTTCGCACCTTTGCAACTGAAACACGTGGAGAAGATGGCAACCTCTGGCCTTCTGATTTCAAGATCCTTCTTTGTTAAGTACCAAAGAAGGCAAGAAAAGAAAGCTTCATCTTTTATTTGCTGCACCCCTCTTAATGAAAGGATCTGTTATGTAAAATTTGGATTCAGTCAAAAGGCTGCAATTAAGGACCAGGAAGGCCGCAAGTTTCCTTAAGAGTGCAGGTAAGAGTGCAGGTTCCCCACCCCTGAAACCTTTTATATGCTAACAGTATCAACCCTAATCACGCCCAGATTTTAAAAGCTAAACTTGCCTCAGCTGTGGTATTCTACTAGCACAGTTCGGGACAGGCATGCTGGTATGAAAGCTAGTATCCAACACTGCAGCTAGGTCTATGACGGTGTTGCTACATCTGGGTCAGCCACTGAGAAGGGAGAAAGGGGTTTTCATCAGCATTTTATGAAACACTAATCTGGTGGAGATGAACAGGACCAAGTGAACGGACCGGCTGGTCGGTAGTGGGTGGTGTGAATGAGGAGGAAGTGCGAGAGGTACGAGAGAGAAGGCAAATAAGGCTCACTGGACGTGAAGAGGAGCCCAAGACAAGGCCAAGGCTCTCCATGAGGGGTGCAGAAATGTGAAAACGTGTGACTGGACAATGAACTTGGCAGTCCTGGCAGAGCAAAATCAGCCAAGACAGAAGAGGTGGCCCCATTCAACACTGAAGCCCAGAAGCCAGACAAGCAGCATGGGAGGGAGACCTGGGAGAGGTTCTGGCCTGAAAGGAGGTGACAGGTGGTCTGTGGAGCAGTTTTAACTGAGTGATGGGGACATAGTGTCTGTGGAGCAGTTTCAACTGAGTGATGGGGACATAGTGTCTGTGGAGCAGTTTCCACTGAGTGATGGAGAATAGTGTCCGATGGGTGCAGTGGGGAAAAGCTGAGAGCCCAGAAGGCTTTCCGTCGGCCAGGCGTGGTGGCTCCTGCCTGTAATCCCAGCATTCTGGGAGGCTGAGGCAGATGGATTGCCTAAGCTCACAGGTTTGAGACCAGCCAGAGCAAGAGTGAGACCCTATCTCTAAAAACAGCTGGGGGTTGTGGTAGGCGCCTGTAGTCCCAGCTACTTGGGAGGCTGAGGCAAGAGAATCGCTTAAGCCCAAGAGTTTGAGGTTGCTGTGAGCTGTGACACCACAAGCTCCTTCTTCTTGTCCACCTTCTACCAAGGGTGACAAAGTAAGACTCTGTCTCAAAAAAAAAAAAGAATAAAGAAAAAGTCTTTCTATTACCAAGGAAAGACCGTCTACATTTATTTTCCTGAGACCACATGCTCCAGAAGATGTAAGATGATGTACATAATCTTTGGACGATGAGAATTTGTCTGAGCTCACCTACCTGAACTTTAATTCTTTTCATACATTCTGGTGACTCCATTTCTTTGTCAGTCATGGTAGAGGGTTTAATCAAATAGCACAGCATAAGTTCCTGTTGAGAAATAAAAAACCATTTCTGCATCCGAGAATAAACAACTGTACGAATTCGGGTGAATCAGCAGGAGATGCAGGCAACCTCCATTCCCTCCCGCTGTGTGCTCCTGGACACCCACAGAGGGCTCCAGTTTCCCCCCGGGAACATTTACCTGGGGCTCACATTTACCTGGGGCTCACGTTCTTGACTAAGGACTTCCCATTTAGTAATCACTGCCATGGGAAGAGAAGGTAAATAAAGCAGATATAGTGTTCATAAACACAGAATTTTAAATACTAAATACAGTAAGTTCTCATTTAAAGTTATCAATAGGGTCTTTTTTTTTTTTTGCAGTTTTTGGCCAGGGCTGGGTTTGAACCCACCACTTCTGGCATATGGGACCAGTGCCCTACCCCTTTGAGCCACAGGCGTTGCCCCCAATAGGTTTTTTTTTTTTGAGACGAGTCTCACTATGTTGCCCTCATCAGAGTGCTATGGCGTCACAGCTCAAAGCAACCTCAAACTCTTGGGATTAAGAGATTCTCTTGCCTCAGCCTCCCAAGTAGTTGGGACTACAGGTGCCTGCCACAATGCCAGCCTATTTTTTGTTGCAGTTGTCATTACTGTTTAGTTGGCCTGAGTCGGGTTCAAACCCGCTACCCTCATTGCATATGGCTAGCGCTGTAACCACTGTGCTACAGGTGCCGAGCCATCAACAGGTTCTTGGAAACTGACTTTTAAGCAAATGACGTACAGCAGTTCCTCAAATAACTTCTTCCCCTTCAATGTCTTTTCCTTGATAAGGAAAAAAAACAAACTGGTTTTGTTATACGTGTGTTGCTTAAAAATCATAGTTCCCAAGAACCTATTGACAATGTGAAGTGAAGACTTAATATATGCTTCGAGTCCCATAAAATGGGCATTAAGAAACCAGGATGGGCAATGGAAACAGTACAGGTTCTCTATTTTCTTTCTGAGTCTGAGTCTCACCCTGCTGCTCAGACTACAGTGCCATGGCATCAGCCTAGCTCACAGCACCCTCAACCTCCTGGGTTTAAGCAATCTTCCTGCCTCAGCCTCCCAAGTACCTGGGATTACAGGCATGAGCCACCACACTTGGCTAATTTTTAAATTTTTTATAGAGACAGAGTCTTGCTTTGCTGCTCAGGTTGGTCTTGAACTCCTGGCCTGATTCCTTTGGTCTTAAGCAAGCCCTCGACAGGACACAGAGGAACACAAGCTGGGAAACCAGATGGCTGAGGGTCTGAATCCCACATCTTGGATTTCTAAACTTTCAATTTCTCATCCTGGCCAGGTACAGTGGCTCACGTCTATAATCCTAGTACTCTGGGAAGCCAAGGCAGGAGTTTGAGATCAGCCTGAGTAGGAGCGAGACCTAGTCCCTATCTCTACAGTTAGTCTGGTATGGTGGTACATGCCTGTAGTCCCAGCTACTGGAGATTCTGAAGGAGGAGGATGGCTTGAACCCAGGAGTTGGAGGCTGCAGTGAGTTATGATGATGCCACTGAACTGTAACCAGGGCAACAGAGTGAGACTGTCTGAAAACAGAACAAAATCCTCATCCTTAGTGTGGGGATAATAGTGTGGTGAGAAAAAAAGTATTTGGCAATGCATATTAAGTCCCTTCCTCTGTCTTTAAGAGATCTGCAAAATTCTCAAATGCATCAGCAATGTTTTGACTCCTTTGTGAATTTTGTGAGTGCATGAGGGAGTGAATGTTACATTGCAACAGAAAAGGCCACACAGGACCCACAGCCCTGGAAAGCCAGGCAATGCCTATCTGATCAGACCACCAAGAGAACCTCTAACACCCAGTCACTGGTGCTTAGCATCAGTTGGTATCAGGAAGGAAACACTGAAACATAATGCAAGAGAGGACAACATCTAGCCCTCACGGGGTAGAACTTCACTGTTAGAAATGCTATGAAGTGGGGCAGTGCCTGTGGCTCAGTGGGTAGGGCGCTGGGCCCCATATACCGAGAGCGGCAGGTTTGAACCCAGCCCCGGCCAAACTGCAACAAAAACATAGCCAGGCGTTGTGGCAGGCACCTATAGTCCCAGCTACTCGGGAAGCTGAGGCAAGAGAATCACCTAAGCCCAGGAGTTGGAGGTTGCTGTGAGCTGTGACGCCACAGCACTCTACCAAGGGTGATAACATGAGACTCTGTCTCTAAAAAAAAGAAGAAAAAAAAAAGATGCTATTAAGTGTCTATAAATGATTCTTGATACTATCACATTCAAGGAAAAAAAAAAAGAAATTGAACTGCGTATCGGCTGAATGCCAAGGCTGTACCTTAGACACGTTAGCTGAAACTCTGCTCAAGGCCGCCAGCGACTTCCAAGTGAATGGTCTGCGGAGAGAGCCTTCAAAATGATCACTGACCAGCTCAATAATGACAGAGTAACTGGCAAACACAGAAAAAAATATTTACAAAAATATGAAATCAATGTTTTAAAAGGTCATTGTTTGTCCAATCAAGGCACAGAGAATAAAATTTACGTCAACTGATCTAAATTCCCCTATACTGCTACTGAAAAAATATTAATGCAAAATTTGTATTGTTAAGTTATAAATTTTCAGCCTGATTTCAACACTTGTTTAATGAAAAGGAAGAGAAATATTTTTCCCAATATGAAAGTTGCAAGTTCACTTAACTGTTTAGACACTATTATCCATAGAAATTAAGATGAACAATTACTATATAGATTAACTCGATGTTTAACAGTAAGACATGTATTATCATAACCTGTATCTTCTGTAACAATGTTAGTGGATAAGGCACGGCCGTATAGTATCTAACCCTGTCAGGCCAGGAGGAATATGACTTCTGTTTCGATAGCACCAAAAAAATTTAATAGAAAGCCAAAAATTTCCTCATGTCCCTTTAAGCCACTGATTTAAAAATCACTCCAAACCTTGCATGGTAAAATGGAGGGCCTTTCCGATACAGCACTGTAAAGAAGAAAAAAAAATGAACATGAAAATGTAGAAGCACTCAGAATTGAAAGCTTACTGCATTATTTAATATTGCTGCTTCTCCAAAGGGAGGCAAACATTCAATTATCTGTGTGATGACAATCTGTACCAGGCCTGTAGTCTATTTTTAAAATCCAATCTATTTTCTTCCCCTGAAACAAAATCCAATTAGTAAAGCAAATTTGTCACTGAGACCCTGTCATCTTCGACCCAACCTACAAATACATTTTGAAGTCAAGTAGAAGTGATTCTTGTCTCTTGTCTCACACCCTTTAGGGTAAGTGTGTGAATTACACCAAGAGTGAAGTTCATATTACATGGACCAACATTTAAACCAATATAAAACAAAGCATCCAGGTGGCTACTCTGGCCAGGTACTGTGCTAGGTGTTGATGCTAGAGCTGAACAAGACTCAGGACTTTCAAGAGACTCAAAGTTAAGTGAGTAAAATAGAGTCATGTAACCACATGTGCCATTCAGGCATCAGTCTGCTCTACGATTGGGGACCTCAAGGAAGTGGGTCGATTCAGTCTGTGGAATCTGGAAGAGCAGCTTGGTCAAGGAGCCTGGGGACAGTGACTCTGGATCCTCACAGGGAGCCTTTGGCAGTACACCATCTGTGGCAGAGACTGGCCCCCAGTTTACTAAACTCACACTCCCTCCTCCTGGGTATGTGGTCAGCCACAGCTCTCAGTCTCCCCAGCAGCAGGCAGGGCCGTGTGTTGTGACACTACCAGGTGGGCCCTTAAAACCCTCTCTGTACAAAGCCTGTGCTTGTTCCCTTCTGAAGGTGACCTTGGAAGCTACATGTTGAAGACTATGGGCCGCAAGAAGCATGAGTTCCTGAAGCATCCTCTGGAGGTGAGCTGCTGCCCCTCCGAGTCAGAAACACAGATTTAGTATCTCACATGAAGAAAAAAAGAACTCTACTGTGGAGCCCGAGATTCAGGGTTTATATGTAACTACAGCTGTGGGAATTACCATTAACTAACACATGATCACATCTGTAAGCACTTAGCTGTCTGTGCTAAAACCAAAGCAGGAAAGTTCAAGGAAAAGTTCTGTTTCCCTTGAGGAACTGGTATCATTGTCCTCTTGGACATATTAATCCTGTAGCTAATCACATTTTCCTTTGGCTCAGGAAGCTCAGTGCCAAATTTGTAGCATCATTTTCGTAACCACATAGGACTCCAAGGACAACACAGTAACCCTTCACTTAGTCTTGTTTTGTTAGCCTATATTGTCCACAATCATGTTTCCTTATTTTAGACTATTTTTTTTTTTAGACAGAGTTTCAGTATGTCGCCCTTGGTAGAGTGCCGTGGCGTCACAGCTCACAGCAACCTCAAACTCTTGGGCTTAAGCGATTCTCTTGCCTCAGCCTCCCAAGTAGCTGGGACTACAGGTGCCTGCCACAATGCCTGGCTATTTTTTGTTGTTGTTGTTGTTATAGTTGACGTTATTGTTTAGCAGGCTCCAGGTGGGCTTTGAAGCCACCAGCCCTGGTGCATGTGGCTGGTGCCCTAGCCACTGAGCTACAGGCGCCAAGCCTTAAATTATATTTAAAGTATTTGGCAAGTCAGCTTAAATTTATTGTGGCACAAATTTAAGAAAATATCCAAAAACAATTTTCAACTTTTTTTTTTTTTTTTGGCCACAGAGTCTCACTCTGTTGCCCAGGCTAGAATATTATGGCATCAGCCTAGCTCACAGCAACCTCAAACTTCTGGGTTCAAGAGATCCTCCTGCCTCAGCCTTGCAAGTAACTGGGTCTAAGGTACCCTCAACCACAACCAGCTAGTTTTTCTATTTTTAGTAGAAACAGGGTCTTTTTTTTTTTTTTGAGACAGAGCCTCAAGCTGTCCCCCTGGGTAGAGTGCCATGGCATTACAGCTCACAGCAACCTCAAACTCCTGGGCTCAAAAGAGCCTCCTGCCTCCGCCTCCCAAGTAGCTGGGACCACAGGCGCCCGCCACAACGCCCGGCTATTTTTTGGCTGCAGCCGTCATTGTTGTTTTTGGCAGGCCCAGGCTGGATTCGAACCCACCACCTTAGGTGTATGTGGCTGACGCCTTAGCCACTTGAGCCACAGGCACCAAGCCAGAAACAGGGTCTTGCTCTTACTTGGGCTTATCTCAAATTTCTGACCTCAAGTGATCCCCCACCTCAGCCTCTCAGAGTCCTAGGATTACAGACATAAATCACCACCCGACCCAATTCTCAACTTTCTCAGATGCAATGTAAAGGAAGGAAACCACATACAGGAAGGAAGTGAGCTCAGGAGTTTTGTATCCTGCCCACTCCGTCTTTCCAAGTTGTGTGTCTTTGAGAAGTTATTAACTTCTCTGAGCCTCAGCCTCCAGAATTCTAAAATGAAGACATTAGGGGAAATAAAGATTTTTTCGAGCCCTCAAACGTCAGTATCTGTGATCAAATACACATCTTTAATCCAACAGGCGTCTGAAGCATCAAATAAGTGGGAAGTAGCTCACGTCCACAAGTCAGGTAATTTCTATGACACTGGCACAGTTTAAAAGTTAAACATGGGCTGGGCACAATGGCTCACACCTGTAATCCTAGCATTCTGGGAGGCTGAGTGGGTGGATTGCTTGAGCTCAAGAGTTCAAGACCAGCCTGAGCGAAACTGAGACACTGTCTCTACTAAAAATAGAAAAACTGAAGCAAGAGGATCACTTGAGCATGGTACTCTACCCAGGCAACAGCCTGAGACTCTGTCTCAAAAAAAAAAAAAGTTAAAACATGAACAAGGGGCAGCACCCGTAGCACAGTGCTCACGGCGCCAGCCATATACACTCAGGTTGGTGAGTTCGAACATGGCCTGGGCCAGCTAAACAACGACAACTGTAACAAAAAAAATAGCTGGGCGATGTGGCGGATGCCTAACGTCCCAGCTACTTGGGAGGCTCAGGCAAGAGAATCACTTAAGCCCAAGAATTTGAGGTTGCTATGAGCTATGATGCCACAGTACTCTACCCCAGGGGACAGCTTGAGACCCTGTCTCAAAACAAACAAACAAACAAGGACATGGGCATTAGACAGGCCCAAATTCAGTCTCAGTAGTGTCAGTGGTACCACCAACTCCCTGCACATCAATCTCCTTAGGAAAAACAGGGGTTACGCACATGATGAAGGCAGAAGTATTAGTACAGTGCCTGGCATATGGTAAACGCTCAGAAAGTTACCTATAATAACGGTGATTACAGTTGTGCATTACTTAGTAACGTTGGGATACATTCTGAGAAATGCTGTCATCAGGGGAGTCTGTCATGGTGCATCGTGGTGAAGTTGCTTATATAAACCTAGACGGCCCTGCTACGCACCTAGGCTGTATGAGACAGCCTCTTGCCCCTGGCCACAAATCTGTACAAGGTGTTACTGTGCTGAATACTGTCGGCAACTGAAACATAATCCTAAGCATTTGTGTCTAAACATATTTTAATATGAAAAAGGCACAGTGAGCATAAGGTAAAAAATGAAGCCCAGCACAGTGACACACGCCTACAGTCCCCGCTACTTGGGAGGCTGAGGTTGGAGGACTGCTTGAGCCCAGGAGTTCCAGGTCAGCCTGAGAAACACAGCAAGATTGCAACTCTTAAAAAAAAAAAAAAAAAAAAAGGCCAGGCACGGTGGCTCCTGCCACCCCGGGACCTCTCGGTTCTTGACACGTTGTTGCTGCAACTTGCTGAGCTTGCTCCCGGCTCAGGGCCTCTGTGTCTGCTGCTCACCTTGCCTAGTGGGTCTTTCCAGGTTCAGGGGTGCTGCTCCCTCACTGCCTTTACAACTATGCAGAGGCCTTCCTGGCTACCCCAGTGTCCTCACTCTCTATGCCTTTACTCTGCTTCATTTTTCTTACAGTACTCAACCCAGAAATGATGTAATATATTCGTCTGGTTGACTGTACCCCCTGGAATGTAAGCAGCACAAAGGCAGTTGTGTGTCTGCCTTATTCAGCTCTGTATTCCTAATACCTCAAGGAGGGGCCCACAGCAGCCCTTTGCTAATTACCTGTTGAATGAAGAACTCACCTGGTCTGGACTCTCTCTCTGAGACTGGGGAGGCAGTAATGAATACAGGTTTCTAAGAGCCAGACTCTAGAATTCAAAGCCCAACTCTGCTCTATCAGCCCTGGAAACTCAGGGGCAAATTTGATACTCTTATTCTCTCAAAACTGCAGTCGCCCTATCAGACTAGGCTAATAAGAGCATCAACTGTACAGAACTGCTTACAGGGACTGAATGATAACAAATGCAAGAGTGCAAAGCTTGGTATAATAGATAATCGTGTGATTATTATAGTGATATGATTATTCTCACGTGGCAGATGAGGCAACTGCCAGAAGTCCAAAGGACAGGCACTGCCACAGATCACACAATCTTATGACTAATGAGAGGTGGGGGTTGTATTTAGAATCTTTTCTTTCATCTCTTTCCTTCCTCCCTCCCTCCCTTCCTTTCTTTTTTTTGAGACAGAGCCTCACTCTGTCACCCAGGCCACAGTGTCATGGTATCACAGCCCACAGCAACCTCAAATTCTTGGGCTTAAGAGATCCTCTTGCTTCAGCCTCCTAAGTAGCTGCTGAAACCACAGGTGCCTGCCACAATGCCCAGCTAGTTTTTTGTTTTTGTAGAGAAGAAACACAGTAGAGTGCTAGGATTACAGGCATGAGCCACCAGGCCCCGTCCTAGAATCTTATTCTAACATTACAGAGCAAACAAGAGGAAAAGCTTGAATTGGGGCTGCAAACTTCTCACCCTGAGCTTTCCCCTAGACCACCTTCTCTCTTTCTGCACTTAACCTTCCACCCCAATCCAAATATCCAACATTCTTACCTAAGCCCAAAGGAGGACACATTCTTAGAGGCTGGCAACAGAACGCATGACCAGTTTGATTTTCCAGGGTAAAGCGGATCCAAACCCTGGGGAGTTACTTACATAGATCTGTGCCGTACTTGAGCCCCACTTTGGGCACCCAGCCCTTGCTCCGGAAGTAGTGGTAGGCCATGTAGGTCGTCCTGAATGTGGGCTGAACTACGGTGAAAGTCTTCCAGAGCTTCAGTATTGTTAAAGGCTCCTAAAATTATTTTTTAAACGTCAGTGTTAGGTATGCATTCACCCCTCTTCCAGCAGTGCATCAACATCCACACCAGCTGTGGAGCTGAGGCAGCACCAAACTGAAGGCTTAACCAGGAGGCCCAGCCCTGCACTGTGCAGTGTGGTAGCCACCAGCCATCCACGGCCTGTCCAAACTGAGAGAAGCGCTAAGTGTGAAATATACAATGAATTCCTACATAGTATGGAAAAAGAAGAATGTAAAACTATCCCAATAATTTTAGGTATGTAAAATAAATGACATAATATAGTATTAAATTTTTTTTTGAGACAGAGCCTCAAGCTGTCGTCCTGGGTAGAGTGCTGTGGCATCACAGCTCACAGCAACCTCCAACTCCTGGACTCAAGCAGTTCTCTTGCCTCCGCCTCCCAAGCAGCTGGGACTACAGGTGCCTGCCACAGAGCCCGGCTATTTTTTGGTTGCTAGGTGTCATTGTTGTTTGGTGGGCCCAGGCTGGATTCAAACCTGCCAGCTCAGGTGTATGTGGCTGGTGCCTTAGCCGCTTGAGCTACAGGAGCCAAGCCTATAGTACTAAAATTAAGCTATGTAATATGTTATTAAAATTAATTTATCTGCTTTCCTTGTTTTTCCTTTTTAAATTTTCTATTCTTTATAGACATCTTGCCATCATCTGCTTTTCTTTTTTGAAACTTTTTAAATGTGGGTACCCAGAAAATCTAAAACTATGTATGTGCCCCCCATTTGAGGTTCCCATTACACTCCTATGGAGAACAGTGCTCCATAGGACACAGAAAAGGTGACTTGGAGGATGAGAAGTAGCCCCAGGAAAGGGAATAGAAGGTTTGGGGAGGTGGTGGGCTGGGGAGAACATTCTAGCTGGAGGAACGAGTGTATGTCTACGGGCTCAAGTTTAAGTTGATGGGCAGCAATTCCAGCATTTTACAGACCCTTAACAAATAACGATTCTACGCCAGGCCACATTTGGAAAAGCCAAAAATAATTTTTTTTTTTTTTTTGAGACAGAGTCTCACTTTGTTACCCTCAGTAGAGTGCCATGGTGTCACAGCTCACAGCAACCTCCAGCTCTTGGGCTTAGGTGATTCTCTTGCCTCAGCCTCCTGAGTAGCTAAGACTATAGGTACCTGCCCCACGCCTAGCTATTTTTCTGTTGCAGTTTGGCAGGGGCTAGGTTTGAACCCACCACCCTGGGTATATGGGGCTGGTGTCCTACCCACTGAGCCACAGGTGCCGCCCAAAGCAAAAAATAATTTTATACTAAAAGTTTCCAAAACAAAAGATGCTCCATTTAGTCTTTGAAACTAGCAAATTTGTTGTCAGATGGCACAAACTAATAATCCAATTACTTAAAAGAAACTTTTTTAAAAATTTCTTTTTTTTCTTAGTATTCATATTGGTTATGGCATTAAAAGAGAATTTTACTTGCTTCTTTTTTTTTCTGTCTTACTGTGTCACCCTTGGTGGAGTGCCATAGTGTCACAGCTCACAGCAACCTCCAACTCCTGGGCTTAGGCGATTCTCTTACCTCAGCCTCCCAAGTAGCTGGGACTACAGGTGCCCACCACAACGCCCGCCTATTTTCAGAGATGAGGTCTCACTCTGGCTCAGGTGGGTCTCGAACTCATGAGCTCAGGCAATCCACTTACCTTAGCCTCCCAGAGTGCTAGTATTATAGGCATAAGCCACTGTGCCTGGCCTTGTTTCTTTTTTTTGAGACAGAGTCTCACTTTGTTGCCCTGGGTAGAGTGCCATGGCGTCAAAGCTCACAGCAACCTCAAACTCTTGGGGCTTAAGCAACTCTCTTGCCTCAGCCTTCCAGGTAGCTGGGACTAAAAGTGTCTGCCACAACACCCGGCTATTTTTAGGGATGGAGGTCTTATTCTTGCTCAGGCTGGTCTCAAACTCAAGCAATCCACTTGCCTTGGCCTCTCAAAGTTCTGGGATTACAGTGAGCCACTGCACCTCGCTGAGAATTTTGTTTCTAATGCAGGAGTTGAAGAGAATGAGAACGGTTTGGTCTAGACAATATTCTGACACACCAATAAAAAAAGTACAACAAGAAGAAAATAGGCAAGTTTGGGAAGTTTGATGGGTCCGTTTCAATGCTCAGTGAGACAGTTCTTCAGCTAGTTTAGAGCTCAGTTGGTGGGAGTTGCTCGGTTTGGCTCAGCCTAAGACTTTAATACCATAAACGAGCCAGAGTTAGTTTTTTTTCCCTTTTTTTTTTTTTTTTTTGCAGTTGTCCCTAACGTGAAAATTCCATACATATGTGGCCTTCTTCAAACCCCAGTGCAAGAAAAACATTCAACCCCTCCTCTAACCAGCAATAGCCTTGTGGAGAAAGCTAAATTTCCAGTGTGGGCAGCCCGATATGGGTCACATGTTGAGGATTCTATGTGGCAGCTGCAGCGTTTTGACAAATTTCAGCTGATGCCTGTGAGGGGAGGGAGGGTGGGGCCAAGAACGGCCACCATCTGGGAAACTGAACGGTCAGGCAGACTCATTTCCAAACCACTGGACTAGTAAACAATATTTATGTGATTAGAATCTGATGAATGATAAAATGATATGTTCCCAAGAACCAAATAAAATAAAATATCCTTTTTACTCTCTTTTTAACTTCTGAAATACACTTCACCATTCTGTTCACCTTTCTCTTTTTAATTTTATTTCAAATATTTTGAATAGGCATTATATTCACATGATTTTAAATTCAAAAAGTACAAAAAGTACTTCAGTTTAATGTCTCCTCCTCCCCATGTCCTCAGCTCCACTGCCTAGAAGCAAGCCCTCCATGCATAACCCTCTCGTACGACCTTACTTCCAAAGGCAGCAGGCAATAGCCCCAAACCTCAAAATCGTGGGCCCTGGAGTTACCTGGATGTACATTCAAATACTAATTCTAACCAGACTAGCTGTGTGACCTTGGGTGAGTCTTATTTTCTCCAAGCCTGTTAGCCCATATGTAAAATTCTTACCATGTGGAGGGAATCACTAGAAATACTGCACGTAAAATGCCTAACACCCAGCCTTTACCAAAGTAGGTGCCAATTATGGGTAGCCTGTACTTTTGTTGTTAATTTTTAATATTGCCCCGATACAGATTTTCTGATCAATATACAGCATAAGATATGGTACTTCTTCTAGTCCTTAGGAATTAAATGCAATTTAAAGGGGTCAAATCAGCCATTTGAGTAGCTAGGAAGTTAGGGCTGTACTGCCTTGCCCAGATAATCTCAATTCAGGGACTGAAAACCGAAATTAGAGAAAAAAATTCATTTCCGATTTTACTCGGAAGAAGTAAACACATTTGTACTAAATCTCATCCAAATTAGTACACTTGCTTTTTTGTTTTTTGAGATCAGAGTCTTGCTCTGTCACACAGGCTGGAGTGCAGTGGTTTGACCACAGCTCACTGCAACCTTGAACTCCTGGGCTCAAGTGATCCTTCTGCTTCAGCCTTTTGAGTAGCTAGGACTACAGGGCTGTACTGCCTGGCCCAGCTAATTTTTCTTTTTTTTTTGGTAGGGCCAGGTCTTACTATGTTGCCCAGGTTGGTCTCAAACTCCTGGTCTCAAGCAATCCTCCCAACTGAGCCTCCCGAAGCACTGAGTACAGGCATGAGGCTGCTTCTGACATCAGGGACGTTTTAAGTCGATTGTGTGGAAACAAAGCATCTTACCTTCTCATGGTAGATACTTAGGCATCCTAGGGCATAGACCAGGAAGAAGGCCTAGAACAGAGCAAGCAGAAAATGTTCATTAGAAGTAGTGCCACATTCTTTTTTTTAATTAAATGATAGCGTGTACATTAATGCAAACATGGGGTAGAGTGTAGTGTTTTCATATATAATTTGAAATATTTTCATCAAACTGGTTAACACAGACTTTGTGTCATTTACTTAGTTATTGTGTTAAAACATTTATACTCTAGTTCTAGAAAAATTCACTTGTACCCCTGTTAGACAGACCATATAGGTGATCTTTCCAGTCTAGTGCCACATTCTTGAGGCATTATTTTACAGATTGATTTCTCTTCACATCTTCACCTCAAATACAAACTAATGTTCTTAAATGATCAGCAAAATGGTCACACATTTTTAACATAAATGGTTCATTCAAATATCAAGGATAAGAAATCTAAGAAAATATGAATGTTACAAACCAGGTTAAACCAGTAAAAAAATAATATTTGTATGAATTTTCCCATAAAGTATTTTTTTCCCTTAGAAACTACGTAAGTGAACTGAAGAACGTTGTTGATAGCTAGAACAGCAGAAGCCTGTGCTTATTTGGCTCCCCCTTGTAAAATTAAATAACTGTATTCAACTAAATATACACAGGAAAAAAAATGTGTGGAAAAGGGCAGTGCAGATACTGCTTACATGCCACCATCTGACGTTCTCTCTCTCTCTCTCTCTTTTTTTTTTTTTGCAGTTTTTGGCCAGGGCTGGGTTTGAACCCACCTCTGGCATATGGGGCTGGTGCCCTACTCCTTTGAGCCACAGGCGCCGCCCAAATACTTTTTTTTTTTCTCTCTTCAGTTTTTGGCTGGGGCTGGGTTTGAACCCACCACCTCCAGGATATGGGGCTAGCGCCCTACTCCTTTGAGCCACAGGCGCCTCCCACACTATCTGACATTCTCTATAGTCCCTGCTGTAAAGTGATTTTTCTATACTGTGTTTGCACTGACTCCATTATACAATATGTTTTACGCTATGCTGGAGGAATGGAAGAGATAGCCCTAGTTGAATAAAATCACACTTTGATGGAAATAAAAGTAGCTTCCTAATAAAAATAATATGCTGCCAAATACTGATACCTGCCAAAGAGCCTTGTGTGGTTGGCTCTGCCTGACTCAGGTGCTGAGATTTTTGGATACCACCGAACAGACTCCACGAGACTGGCGCACAGAAGGCAGTGACCAAATGGTGGCCAGCAGTAAAGCGAGTTACCTTTCTTTTTATATGTGAGGGTGAAAGATTCGATTCACAACCAAACAACAACTATTCTGCTTCTGCTCTCCCTGCCACCACCAGTGAGCACGGACCAGGGGTCCTCTGGTGCAGCCCAGCAGGAGAAACAGTCCCCTGTCATGCTTCTGTGCCACAGCAAGGTCCGGACAAACACACTCTGCCTGTTTCTGTGCGGCTTCCCTTCCCCCACAAACCCAGCACACACACGGGAACAAGGACTCCACAAGTTATATATGAGCAAGGGGTTCCAAGTGGCTGACACCTTAGTGACCCATCAGAAATCTACCCCCTGCCATTCTCTGCCTGCCTATCTTAGGACATCTCTCTTCACAGCAGAGGTTCTCAAAGGGTGGTCTGAGGATCCTGGGGTCCCCCAGATCCTTGCAGGAGAACTCAAGGTCCAAACTCTTCCACAATATTACAGTGTAATGTCTTATCACGCCATTCTCTCCTGCAGCTATGAGACAGGTGACAGCCCAAGAGACTGAAGCCAAAAGCAGAAGTGAGGATTTAGGTGACTTCTAGGAGGCTGGACCTTAAAGCAATTTGCAAAAATGAAAACAAAGCCATTTTCACTTAAGTTTTGTTTTAAATAATGTAGTTATTGGCCTTTTTGCCATGGGAAGGGGGCCTGTTGCTGTCTAGGGCAAACTTATCTTGCTCAGTAAACTCTTCCTCAATTACCTGTTTCATGCTTGAAAAAAAAAATACAAAGCACAAATAATAAAAAAAAAGAAAATGTAGTTACATTTTGTAAGAAACATTATGTTAAGATTAATGGGTTTGTAAATGTGTTAGAAGACTCACAATTTTTTTTTTAAATTTATAATTTGGTAAACACTAACGGAGTTTATATAAAAATGCTCTTTAATAATTTGTGAAAGAAGAGGGTCCTTATCTAACAAAAGTAATCAATGTAACCTGGTTCTGTGTACCCTCAATGAATCCCTAACAATAAAATAATAATAATAAGGATTTGTGAAAGAGAAATAACTGGGGTGGGCTCATCCATGTTAGCGTGGCAAGGCACCCATGTGCCTCACAATCTCTGCCAGCCAGTGATGTCTGTGGGCCCCGGGAAAAGAAAGGCAGGATGCAGGTGATGTGGGACTGATGGTGCTGGACCTCTGCCTCCCCAGAACAGGTCTGCTGGGAACAGGCCTTCTGAAAGGCACGTACGTCTGGAAGGCTGTGGGCTATAGCCTTGCTGGCTATAACCAGGGCCTCCGGAACCACACGGCTCTTTGTAAAATTGAAGGTGTTTATGCCCAAGATGAAACTGAATTCTATTTGGGCAGAGATGTGCTTATGGATATAAAGCAAAGAACAACACAGTGACTACTGCCGGCAAACCGAACAAAACCAGGATGTAATCTCAGGAAAGGTAACTCAGGCCCGGCAGAAACACGGGCCAAAGTCTGAAGCAACTTTCCTGCTAAGGCCGCTGGACACAGAATCCGTGTGATGCTGTACCCCTCAAGGATGGAACTGATGGCTCGGCGCCTATGGCTCAACCGGCTAAGGTGCCAGCCACGTACACCTAAGGTGGCGGGTTCGAATCCCCAGCCCGGACCCGCCAAACAACAATGACGGCTGCAACCAAAAAATAGCCCGGGCGTTGTGGCGGGCGCCCGTGGTCCCAGCTACTTGGGAGGCGGAGGCAGGAGACTCGCTTGAGCCCAGGAGTTGGAGGTTGCTGTGAGCTGTAATGCCACGGCACTCTACCCAGGGGGACAGCTTGAGGCTCTGTCTCAAAAAAAAAAAAAAAAAAAAAAGGATGGAACTGATGAAAGCAAATAGAAGTGGATTTGTACGCTTGCATTTTTATTAAGTGGCATTAAAAAACTTATTGTCTTAAAAGAATAATTTGTAAAAGAATAAAGTGGCTCGATGAAATGTTGCTTTAGTCTGACTCAAATCTAGAGCTTCTCTGGACATAAAAGCGGTCACTTCTCCCCATCACTACCCTGGTCCCAGCTGGTGCTGGCAGCTTTCTCCTAGAATTCTGGGACAGCCCGTTCTGCACAGCAGCCAGATTCACCTCCTTAGTATATGAACGTCATATTACTTCCCTCACCACAACCCTCCAAAGCGCTTCCACCGTCCTTAGAATAAAGTCCAACTGCTTGCCACCAGCTCTAGGTCCCTGCACGATCTGACCGCCACTCTTTTTAGCTGTAGTGGCTGCACTTCCCGTCCTGAATACACAAAGCTCATTCCTGCCTTTGTCTCTGATGTCCCACAATCAGGCATGTTCTGCCCCAGACTCAAAGCTCATTCCTGCCTTTGTCTCTGATGTCCCACAATCAGGCATGTTCTGCCCCAGACTCAAAGGTCAGTGGTAGAGAGGTCTTCCTTGACTGCCCAGCCTAAGTAACCCCACCTTCATCATTCTCCTCAGAGCACTTGTTTTTGTTTTAGAATAACTTACACTTCTCTCCCACTAGAATGTAAATTCCAGCACAGCAGAACCTGTTTGCTGTTTCTTTGGCCTAGAAGAGGGTGTTGGGTTGTCCAGTGTTTTTCTTTTCTGTTGCATATTGGAAGAAGAGCCGTTTGGGGCCATCCATTACGTATACAATTAAGAAAAGCCGATGAGCAAAAAAAAAAAAAAAGAGGTTTCTGCACACTTTTTGTGAATTCTGACACCAAGCAACATGGTCCTCAAATAATCTGTAAACAGCCTGCAGGATGCAGGTTGGACACCCCTGCTAGCACTTGGTGGGTGCTCAAAGCTTGTGCTCAAGGAATAAAGAGGACACATGCCCAGATCCTGCCCTCGACTTAGGCCCAGACAGCTAGAGCACCCAACAGCAGGTCTCTGCACCTGACTCAGCCAGTCTCTCCTGGGTGCGAACACTTAATGTTCTACTTCTGGTTGTGGTTCACAGCTCTGCTAGACAGCCAATAATCTTAGTTTGACCCTCTCTCTTCCCATCACTCACTGTTTTTCAGATGGACTACAGACTGTGACCAAAAGGTGCAGTGGGAAAAACAAAGCTGTTTTCTCAAATGGCTGAGTCCCTTTCATTTTGTCACAACTGGCACTTCTTGGTTCAGAATAGCCTGACACTGAGATCTGAAAGAGCCAAGTTCAAATTGTCATTATTAGTGAAGGCCTTGGAAGTTACCACTTGGAATTCTCTGGGCTTCATTTATACAATCTTAAAGATCTGATAAGAGCTCATAAAGATTTCATAAGGTTACATCTCATAAATAAAGACTTAACAAGCCACGCCACAGTGCCTAAGTGCTCAATCAATTTTAGTTTCCTTCTCTTTCTAAAAATTGTTTGGACAGCATAGCTTAAAAAAAAGTTCAATCCAATCACTACCTGATATGAGATTCATTCCTGGTATCTGCTAGGATGTAAGTTCTTCAGAAGCTGATGTCTTTTCATTATCAGCAGACACACGTTTCCCCAAGAGTGAATGAAATCGATATCCCATTTTTCTTTGTCTAAAATGATGACAGCTTTTATAAAATCTAAGTAAACTGTTATGGGGTATTTATTACAGATGGAGAGGATCTTTTCAATAGTTGGGTTTGTTTGTTTGTTTGTTTGCAGTTTTTGACCGGGGCTGGGTATGAACCTGCCACCTCCAGTATATGGGGCTGGCACCCTACTCCTTTGAGCCACAGGCACAGCCCTCAGTAGTTAGCTTTATTTAGAATTAAAACATCATTAGACTGGGGAGGTCTATGGAGGCTGGCAATCATGTCCTCTGAGATTTCATTAGTAACTTTTTGCTTTTGTC